TTGGGGTCAGTATGTTTTTTTTTTCTTTCAGAAAATATGTGCTAAATTGATCAAAAATTACATGTTAAAAAGATTTCTATTTTTTCCAATGCTGGTTTTTAAAACTTTCTATCCATCAGAGAATCCTGGAAAATTTCCACAAAAATATTAAGTAGTAACTGTTTTCAACATTGATGATAATAAGAAATGTTTCTTGAGCACCAAATCAGCATATTAAAATGCATCTTTGCCATCACAGGAGTACATTACATTTAAAATATATTAAAATAGAAAATGGTTATTTAAAATTATATTAATATTTCACAGTATTACTATTTGTACTATATTTTAATCAGTATAGCCTTGGTGAGCATATGGGACTTTTTACATTTTTGAACATGGTTTACAGTAAGTGTGATGCATATTCCAAAAGATAAGATGCAGGTTATGATGGTGCGGACTGTAACTAAAAGAAACAGCCCCATCCCCATCTTTCAGGCTTACATATTCAATTTGAATTGAGTGTGAATTATTCATTAGTGTATGTGTACCTGTAGCCAGAGCCGCCGCGGTGTGTGTGTATCCCAGCTCTTGCAGTGCAGCCTCTGTAATCTGGCTGAACAGCAGGTCTTTCTTCAACAGCACAAATTCTGCATGCTCTGACCTCTTCCTCTCTGAGGGTGGGACATCACTCTGCTCCACCATACAGAACACAGGAATCAGACTGCCTGTGGAAAGGAGAATACGATCACTCAGACATCTTATAAACAGACATGGTCTTCTATCTGTGTTTATGCCCATCAGTGGATACCTTTCCTCCTGTTTGTGTGTAATGATGTTTGTTTGGAGGTCAGGCTCACAGGAGTGACTCCAGGTACAGGCAGATCTATTGAATTCTCCATACGGGTCATTTTACAGGGAGGATAAGAGGATTCAGACATGACGGGCCCCTGGGTGCCACTAGTAGTTGCCAAATGGTCCATCATCGTTTTTAATCTCAGCTCTCACAAACTACAAAAAATGATAGCATGAGGAAAGGAGAAAATATATATAGAGAGATAATTGCAGTATTGCTCAGATATTTTGTTTTTTCTTCTTCTCTGTTATGATGGTCTTTTTTACTGGTTCTAGACTTTTCTTTTCTTTTTTTGCTGGTCAGACTGGGAGACCAAGTTGTTTCCCAGCTAAAGACCAGCTTGATCAGGCTGGGAGACCATCTCAAACCACCTACGACCAGCAAACCATCTTAGGCTGGCTTAAGATGTTATTTGTTCAGCAGTAAAGAGCTGCTACAGGTGCTGCATATATGCTCAACCTATGACAAATCATCATCTCGTCTTGTTTTTAAGCCATATTTTTTCAGTCACTTACTTTATTGTCTGCAGTGCTGTTTTCCGGTGGTTATAATCCTGCAGACGGGGATCCGAACATGCCGACAGAGCTAGCGCGCGTCCCAGGATCGCTCACTAACAAAAACACTGGCTCCAGAATCAGCGCGCGGGTCCGATGACGAGCGACTCGAGAGCGGGTTTTATTTCATAAAGAAAGGTCTTTGTTCTTAGCAAACGGAAAAAACAGACACATTTAAATAAAAAAAAATAAGGCTAACAGTGAGGAAAAACGGATCGTATAATATAATGCGCGAACACAGATCCGTAATTAAATCTCTAGACGGCCCCACAAAGCATCATCAACGTGATGTCACCAAGAGCGGACCAATCAGTTTCCAGCAGAAGTGCCTCCTGTCAGAATACATGGCTGTTTTAGTATGGCAAGCTATTTTAACATTTAATAATTGATTTCTCAAGCATTTTTGATGTTTCAATAGTAAAAACTCTTAATTTCAAATATCCAATGTACAACTTCAACTAGTCATAAATTTTGATTGGCTTACATTGAGTGCTGTGACAACACTCATGAAATGTTTTGTCCTGGGCCATATTGATACTAGACAAATTTGGACAGCATTGATGAGTAAAGACTACATTTATCTAATAACAATGACCAGATAAGTTTATTAAAGGTTTACATAAGACCTTCCTCTTTAATGATGCTCTACTAATTTGCATTTGATTTAAATTTTGGTCATTTTAGTTTTTGGTGATGAATGTTTAGTTGTACTCATTTTTCCCTCACAAGATGAAATGGAAATTTATGTTTTAAATTTAACTTTAATTTAACCAAGTGTTGTTAGTTTAAAATATGTTGCCGTAAACAGTTCAAAAGATCCATAATATCGTTTTTGAAAGAAATTAATACTTTTATTTTGAAAGTGTACAAGTGTACAAAATGTATCAAAAGTGACAGTAAAGACATCTACATTATTAAAAAAAGGTTTATATTCTTTTCATAAAAGAATCCTGAAAAAAAATTAATGTATCCACAAAAATATTTACAGGCACAACTGTCAAAATTGATAATAAGAAATGTTTCTTGAGCACAAAGTTAACATATTAGAATGATTTTATAAGGACCATGTGACACTGAAGACTGTAATGGCTGCTGAAAATTCAGCTTTACCATCACAAGAACAAATTGCATTTTTTAAATATAATAAAATCTAGAACATTATTTAAATTTGTAATAACATTTCACAGTATTACTTTTTATTATTATTTTTTTTTACTGTTTTTTATTATTAAATAAATGCAAATAAATTTTATTAAGTAAATGCAACCTCGGTGAGCATAAGTGTCTTCTTTCAAAAACAAAAAAAATCTGGTATTTTTCTTGGGGTGTACTTAACATTTCTCTATAACCTTTTATAATTTAAAAACATGTAATAGAGGCTTGCCAATGTGTGTATAAATGCTGTAAGTACTGGTGGGAGGCAATACAATGATTGTTTCAGTTGACAAAAAAAAAAGTTAATCAGCCTCATCAAGTGATCTCTGTGATTAACGCTTGTTTGCACCTGTACGCATGACAGTCACTGTATGTGGCAATCATTCTTTTCCGTAAGCTTAATCATAATGAACAGAGCTTCATTTGTGTCTTTATTTGCATGAGCTTGCATATTTATTTACAACCAAATGAAACGTATTCAGTACATATGATTATAATACAAAACATTATTTTCATCATATAAAAGCATTCTGCAGTAGAATGATTACAGTTTTCACTACTGTGATAAGCATACATCAGTACACAAGAAACAGAGACAGACACATGATTGGATTATATTATTTATGTCAATTTGTCAAGTCAGCTCTCCAGTGACTCATCATATCTCAACGATTACCCCACAGCAACAACAGCAGTAATGATGAGAATATTACCATAATAATATAAGAAAATTATGAATTAATGCTCTGTTATGTAATATTACTGTACAACAAATTGCTACTTATTTGAATCATGTTTTTAACACTGCCACAGCACTTTGTGGCAATTTGTATTGTGGTTGTAGAAGGTGAAAGTGTGGTATTGTGACAGTATAAACAGTAGAGGGCGACATAGCCTGCTGCGTGTAATATTTTTTACAAAAAAAAAAAATCGTTGTCTTTAGTACTTTTGACTCTTGCCAAGCAGACATCGTCTCATTTATCTTTGGTCTACTTTTTGTCCTGCTGTTTTGATTTTAGTACTAGTCTATTTACAGTAATCCACCATTTAATATTATCCAAGTATAGTTAAAATGGGCAGCACCATTGGAAATTGCAAAGAAAAAAAATCCCACTCCTTTGTTCAAATGGGCCCCACATTGATAATATCTTTTCTTTTTAACAAACAGGCTAATAATGTTGTTCTCAAAATACATTAGCAGCCCTACAATTTTTCTCAAATCTATTCCTGAAGGCCTCCCAACCTACACATTTTGGATGTTTATCTAATCAAACACACCTGATTAAACTCATGCAGGTTTGTAGCAGATTATAACGTTCTCAGACATATTACATCAGCCATGCCATTACCTTTTGATTCATTTAATATCTACACTGTGACTTACAACTACCAACAGTGCAGTTGGATCTTCTGCATATTTGATGCACTTGGTTTTTGCATAGTAAATAGTAGGTAAGTATGCATATTTGGATGCAGGATGTGTCAGATATCCAGTTTTAGGGGGCTTCCAGGACCTGCTTAGACCTTAAATGCTTTCTCTGTATGCAAACAGTTGAGACCAGCTGTGTTAACGTGAGGTGAAACCGACACACTACATGGTGCTCAACACTGACTGAACTAGGCCGTACTGTGAGAATGATTAATTACCTTTATGATAACAATGCACAAAAGTGGGTAAGCTACCTTCTAAACTTTAAACCTATAAAGCCTACTGTACCATATTTGATATGCATATTTCTAAGGCCTAGTTAGTAATATGTGACCCTGTACCACAAAACCAGTCATAATAGCACAGATATATTTGTAGCAATAGCCAACAATACATTGTATGGGGCAAAATGATCGATTTTTCTTTTATGCCAAAAATCATTAGGATAGTTCAAATTGTTTTATCTCGGCCTAATATTGTCCATTTTTAACGAACCACACATCAATGGAAAGCTGATGTATATATCTAAATTAAAAAAAAAATGGACCCTTATTACTGGTTTTGTGGTCCAGGGTCACATATAATGAACATGTATGGGCTGAAGCAACTTGAAAAAAAAAAAAAAAATGTATGAAAAATCATGTTAAAATTTGAGGATCAAATATGATTCATCATGCTTTTGAGGAATGTTTATTGTTTATATGTTGATTCATCTCTCAATTATCACTGTATTGCAAGAGTGAAGAGCATAAAATATTGTTATCTTTAGGTTGACCTCCAACCTCGTGCGCCACTTGTATAGAATGCTCGCGCGCCATTTACCTGACGCGCACCTGCGGGCGTCACTCCCAGTGACACGGGCGCGCGCATCCCCATCCAGCCTGCTCGCGCGCTGGTGAGGAACGGGATCCTCCGTTCCTCAGTCCGCTGAAAGCTCAATTTCACCGGAGTGCTTCAAACTGTCTCTACCTTTGTCTCTGACAAAGCCGCGTCACTTTGATGGGGAATTCCATATCAGGGCGGGAAAATGCCTGTTATGAAGGGATTGCTCGCGCCACAGAACACATTTTTGGATACTATAGCGACGCGTTTTGACGGCACACGTGAGTTACCGCGATGGCATTTCCCCCTATTTGTGTGCAAAAACTAGTTTGGTGTTTCTAATGAGACTGTTTTTCCTTAAGCAGACAGTAATAAGTTTGGTCGTTTGAGTAGAGTAGACAAATGTTTGTCACAAATGTTTGTCACAGCAAGTGCACTGTGAAATTGACAGTATGTTTACTATGACAACACATTAAAAGCATGATTCATTAAATAATATTAGGGTTAGAAATGAGCATGTAATAGTGAAATTAGCTTCTTAAATGTGAATAATACAAAATGAGTAAATGCAAATAAATCATGAAAAAAAACTCGAGATAAATAGGAATAAAATAATTAGTACTTATGCTTATAACTAGTACTAAATAACACTTTAAAAGCTTCTCTGTTTGTTTTATATGTTTACGTGGTTTTAGTTCAGTGTTCAAGTTCAGTGTTGTGTGCATAATTGCGTATTTTTTTTTGCGTGTTTTCTGTGAGAAATGTGCATTTTATGGTGTGCAAGTACTTGTCCTAAGTAGAGGAACAAACTCATCGTGGCCTCTAAATATATATATATATATACATGCTAAAGATTTTTTTCTGAATTTGGATAATGTGCAAAGTACTTGTCCTAAGTAGAGGAAAAAAAACTCACCCTGGCCTCTGCATATATATATATATATATATATATATTTTTTTTTTTCTTTCTTTCTTGTTTTATCACACTAAAGCCTGGTTGGTGGTGGTACCTTTTTGTGAGTGAATATCTCAAAGAGCTGACATTTAAACATATCAGTTGCGTGCTGGAAACCCAAGCATTTCCACAAATTGAACATTGACTGGCTCTGATGATGAGTGAGAATACGT